GCTTGGGTAAACACTTGGGTCGTGACAAAACAACAGCTCTTGCTGAGGATAGGTACTATTGGCCCCAACTGAAACGAGACATTGGCATTCATGTTAAAAGATGCCCCATCTGTTACGCTGCCAAAGGCCAATCTCAAAATACGGTTCTGTACATGCCTTTGCCCATTCCAGGAACACATTGGGAGGATCTTTCCATGGACTTTGTCTTGGGCCTTCCGCGAACCCAGCGCGGATTTGATTATGTCTTTGTGGCGGTTGATAGGTATTCCAAAATGACTCACTTTATTGCTTACAAAAAGACCTTCAATGTAGTGCTCCTGGAAAATTTATTTTTCAAAGAGGTTGTTCATTTGCATGGGATTCCCAAATCCATCACTTCAGATAGGGACACCAAATTCTTGAGTCATTTTTGGCGGCCTTTGTGGTGGCAGTTTGAAACATCCCTAAATTTCAGTAGCATAAGTCATCCTCAGTTCGATGGTCAAACAGAAGTGGTGAATTGCAGTTTTGGGAATTTAATTCGCTGTCTTTCTGGAGAGAAGCCAAAACAGTGAGATCTTGCTCTTGCACAAGTTGAATTTGCTTATAACAATATGCTCAATCGGTCTACTGGGAAGACCCCATTCCAAATTGTTTATTGTTGTCCTCCACGCCATGCTTTAGACTTGGTTCCTCTGCCAAAATTTCCTGGTTTGAGTATTGCAGCAGAAAATATGGCAGATCGTATCAAGGATACTCAAGAAGATGTGCGAAAAAATTTGAAGGCATCTAATTTCAAATACAAGGCTGATACAGATAAAAACAGACGGGCTCAGGTATTTGAAGAGGGGAATCTAGTGATGGTTTATTTGCTCAAAGGGCGGCTGCCAATTGGCACATACAACGAGCTGCTAGACAAGAATTATGGTCCTTTCCAGATTGTGCAGAAAATTAATGATAATGCCTATGTCGTGGACCTTCCTGTAGATATGACCATCTCTCCTACTTTCGATGTTGCTGATTTGTTTGAATATCATCCTCCTGAGGTGTCGTCTTCTCAATTAATTAACTCGAGGTCGAGTTCTTTTCCAGTAGGGAAGACTGATGTAGAACAGATTGCTGCTTAAGTTTAGGGTTTTTGATTTATGTTGTTAATTAGAATTTGTTTATTTTTGGAATTTTTAGTACTTTTCCTTATTTTAGTTATTTTTTTCCTAAAGTTCTAGTTCTAGTTCTAGTCGAATTAGGTTTTGCAGCCTGTATAAAGGCTATTTCTTTTCATTGAAAGGTTTACTTTTCATTCGATAAAGAATTTTCTTTCTGAGATCTTATTCAAACCGATAACCCTCTATTATTGGCATTGTGGCTGTACTTCGAAGCATAAAGCGAGTCAATTAAACCGGGCAGCAAATGGTCTAAGTAGGAGGGCATTGATGCTAGTCACAATATGGACCGAAGTGATTGGGTTTGATTGTCTCAAGGAGCTGTATGCAGACGATGAAGATTTTAGGATATTTGAGCAAAATGTCAGTCAAGACCTTCCATTGACAGAATGCATATTCAAGAGGGTTATCAGTTTCGAGGATGCCAATTGCGCATCCCGAGGAGTTCACTACGAGATCAAATAATTCATGAATTACATGGTGGAGGCTTGGGTAAACACTTGGGTCGTGACAAAACAACAGCTCTTGCTGAGGATAGGTACTATTGGCCCCAACTGAAACGAGACATTGGCATTCATGTTAAAAGATGCCCCATCTGTTACGCTGCCAAAGGCCAATCTCAAAATATGGTTCTGTACATGCCTTTGCCCATTCCAGGAACACATTGGGAGGATCTTTCCATGGACTTTGTCTTGGGCCTTCCGCGAACCCAGCGCGGATTTGATTATGTCTTTGTGGCGGTTGATAGGTATTCCAAAAATGACTCACTTTATTGCTTACAAAAAGACCTTCAATGTAGTGCTCGTGGAAAATTTATTTTTCAAAGAGGTTGTTCATTTGCATGGGATTCCCAAATCCATCACTTCAGATAGGGACACCAAATTCTTGAGTCATTTTTGGCGGCCTTTGTGGTGGCAGTTTGAAACATCCCTAAATTTCAGTAGCATAAGTCATCCTCAGTTCGATGGTCAAACAGAAGTGGTGAATTGCAGTTTTGGGAATTTAATTCGCTGTCTTTCTGGAGAGAAGCCAAAACAGTGGGATCTTGCTCTTGCACAAGTTGAATTTGCTTATAACAATATGCTCAATCGGTCTACTGGGAAGACCCCATTCCAAATTGTTTATTGTTGTCCTCCACGCCATGCTTTAGACTTGGTTCCTCTGCCAAAATTTCCTGGTTTGAGTATTGCAGCAGAAAATATGGCAGATCGTATCAAGGATACTCAAGAAGATGTGCGAAAAAATTTGAAGGCATCTAATTTCAAATACAAGGCTGGTACAGATAAAAACAGACGGGCTCAGGTATTTGAAGAGGGGAATCTAGTGATGGTTTATTTGCTCAAAGGGCGGCTGCCAATTGGCACATACAACGAGCTGCTAGACAAGAATTATGGTCCTTTCCAGATTGTGCAGAAAATTAATGATAATGCCTATGTCGTGGACCTTCCTGTAGATATGACCATCTCTCCTACTTTCGATGTTGCTGATTTGTTTGAATATCATCCTCCTGAGGTGTCGTCTTCTCAATTAATTAACTCGAGGTCGAGTTCTTTTCCAGTAGGGAAGACTGATGTAGAACAGATTGCTGCTTAAGTTTAGGGTTTTTGATTTATGTTGTTAATTAGAATTTGTTTATTTTTGGAATTTTTAGTACTTTTCCTTATTTTAGTTATTTTTTTCCTAAAGTTCTAGTTCTAGTTCTAGTCGAATTAGGTTTTGCAGCCTGTATAAAGGCTATTTCTTTTCATTGAAAGGTTTACTTTTCATTCGATAAAGAATTTTCTTTCTGAGATCTTATTCAAACCGATAACCCTCTATTATTGGCATTGTGGCTATACTTCGAAGCATAAAGTGAGTCAATTAAACCGGGCAGCAAATGGTCTAAGTAGGAGGGCATTGTTGCTAGTCACAATATGGACTGAAGTGATTGGGTTTGATTGTCTCAAGGAGCTGTATGCAGACGATGAAGATTTTAGGATATTTGAGCAAAATGTCAGTCAAGACCTTCCATTGACAGAATGCATATTCAAGAGGGTTATTAGTTTCGAGGATGCCAATTGCGCATCCCGAGGAGTTCACTACAAGATCAAATAATTCATGAATTACATGGTGGAGGCTTGTGTAGACACTTGGGTCGTGACAAAACAACAGCTCTTGCTGAGGATAGGTACTATTGGCCCCAACTGAAACGAGACATTGGCATTCATGTTAAAAGATGCCCCATCTGTTACGCTGCCAAAGGCCAATCTCAAAATACGGTTCTGTACATGCCTTTGCCCATTCCAGGAACACATTGGGAGGATCTTTCCATGGACTTTGTCTTGGGCCTTCCGCGAACCCAGCGCGGATTTGATTATGTCTTTGTGGCGGTTGATTGATAGGTATTCCGAAATGACTCACTTTATTGCTTACAAAAAGACCTTCAATGTAGTGCTCGTGGAAAATTTATTTTTCAAAGAGGTTGTTCATTTGCATGGGATTCCCAAATCCATCACTTCAGATAGGGACACCAAATTCTTGAGTCATTTTTGGCGGACTTTGTGGTGGCGGTTTGAAACATCCCTAAATTTCAGTAGCACAAGTCATACTCAGTTCGATGGTCAAACAGAAGTGGTGAACTGCACTTTTGGGAATTTAATTCGCTGTCTTTCTGGAGAGAAGCCAAAACGGTGGGATCTTGCTTTTGCACAAGTTGAATTTGCTTATAACAATATGCTCAATCGGTCTACTGGGAAGACCCCATTCCAAATTGTTTATTGTTGTCCTCCATGCCATGCTTTAGACTTGGTTCCTCTGCCAAAATTTCCTGGTTTGAGTATTGCAGCAGAAAATATTGCAGATCATATCAAGGATATTCAAGAAGATGTGTGAAAAAAATTGAAGGCATCTAATTTCAAATACAAGGTTGGTACAGATAAAAACAGACGGGCTCAGGTATTTGAAGAGGGGGATCTAGTGATGGTTTATTTGCGCAAAAGGCAGCTGCCAGTTGGCACATACAACGAGCTGCTAGACAAGAATTATGGTCCTTTCCAGATTGTGCAGAAAATTAATGATAATGCCTATGTCGTGGACCTTCCTGTAGATATGGTCATCTCTCCTACTTTCGAAGTTGCTGATTTGTTTGAATATCATCCTCCTGATGTGTTGTCTTCTCAATTAATTAACTCGAGGACGAGTTCTTTTCCAATAGGGGAGAGTGATGTAGAACAGATTGCTGCTTAAGTTTAGGGTTTTTGATTTATGTTGTTAATTAAAATTTGTTTATTTTTGGAATATTTAGTATTTTTCCTTATTTTAGTTATTTTTTTCCTAAAGTTCTAGTTCTAGTTCTAGTCGAATTAGGTTTTGCAGCCTATATGAAGGCTCATTCTTTTCATTGTAAGGTTAACTTTTCATTTAATAAAGAATTTTTTTTGGTTTCTTATTCTCTGAGCTCGTGAATTCGAGTGTTACATTTTTTGTTCGAGGAGTCGAACGATTTTTCAGGTTGGTGGCGGTGCCCTACTTCTTCATAAGCTTCCGCTACGTCAATATCTAATGTGGCACCGAGTAGTTTTGAATTAGTCCGTAATCTAGTTTAATAATTAGGGTAAATTATTTTCTGTTTGGAGAGTTAAATCCTGAACAGTGTAGTACACAATCTTGGATTATGGGATTTGCAGATTCATTATTTTGAGTTCGTGGATTCGTATTTGAGTTTGCGGATTGGTGTCAATTTCGCTCTCAATCCGTGGATTGACATCCAGAACGTGAGTTCGCTGAGTTTGGGAGATGAATCCTATGATCCAGGGTAACCCCTTGCCCAAGCTTCGTCGGACCTCCAACCTAATGCCCAGATTTGATAGACCCCCATTCCTAATGCCCAGCGCTGATAGACCCCCACAGTCCTATACCCGACGCTGATGGACACCACAACCCCATACCCAACGCCAACGGACACATCCAACACCGACAGTCACCCCCGCCGATATATCCAACACCGACGATCACCCCGATACCCAACACTGAGAGTTCTTCTTTTTTACTTGGTGACCTATTGGTATGGATGCGATAACACCTCACCTTCATGCTCAACTCCGAAAACCCTTCGATAGCAGTACCTATACCCAACGACGGCAATACCCCAAACCCCATACCTATCACTAGAAGTCCATCGCATCCATACCAACTTCGGCAGTCCTCTTAACCTCCATGCCACTTCCGGTGGTCCCCCAAACCCCAATCCCAACTCCGGTAGTCCCCCACCTCCACCAAACAAAGAAACCATTCAGTCTATACACCACACAATCAAACAAGGTTCATCCAAAAATTGACACCAAACACCAACACCACCCCTATATCTCAGCCATAGGTGCAAACAACAAACGCCAACACTCCCTCCCCCAAAACTTGGTATGGAGGTACTTCAATTTTACTTGCTGAACACCAATGGGTGGCGTAGTGGTCTGGTGGCTGAAAAGGACAAAAAGGGTGAGATTTTTTTGGTGTTTGTTGTTTGGCATAGAGTAGATGGGCGAATTTGTCATCAATGAAATAAAGGTCGTGAAATTCACTTGGCCAATTTTTGTCAAATTTAATTGAAATGGGGTAATTGATTTTAGTAAAAAACTTGAAGGGCAAATTGTTAAAATTGAAATTAAAAGGAGTTAATTACAACGTGACCCAAACTTGAAGGGAACATTTTTTAATTAACTCAAAATAATTTAGGTATATCTTGATGAAAAATGTGTAATATGAGTAGTTTATAGTCAAAATTGTGTAATTTGGGTAAAGATTATGTTTCTGTCAAGTGAAGCATTGGGCCTACGCTCACATTATCATTTTTTTAGTAATAGCAGTATATAACCTAATACGGTGTGATTGTATATAAAAAAGAAAATGCTGTAACTCAAAAATATTTCAAGTTATTTCGAATAGAGAATTTTTTTATAAAATCGATAATGATCTCAACTAAATTTTATAATTAAATAAAAAATAATTTTACTGCGGATTTATGATTGTGCCCATTGATAGAAAAATTAGTGAAAATTTAATTTACATTTAATTCATACAAAATTTTAGAGATATTAAAATTTTTTATATTTTATTGAATTATATAATAAAGTTAAAATGTACTAAAAAAATTATTTTGTGTGTTTTTATTATGATTTTGTTTCGATTAAATAAAAATTGAATTTATTATTTCACAATAATTTTATCTTGATTCTTGCTTTTATTTTTCATTCTTGAACTGAACTTTTTTGTATCAATTTTAGCTAAATATTTTTTTATATCAATTATATTTTACCTCTCATAGATATTCTTGACTCTGCCTCTGAGACCAATATGTAGTAACTCCATTGGGTGTAACCATGAGGATGTACATCAACTGTGAAATGTCTAGTTTGAACCATAATTACTAACCTAGTTAGTTCGTCCCTACAACATCATTAAAGCTAATCAACTATTCCCATGGATTAAATTTTGCTTAGTAATCATATGAAAATCAGGAACAACGTTAAACGAATACAACTTATCACTAGATTATCAGTTAACAAGACATCACCTTCACATGGTATGAAAATGTCTCGCGAGTTGGGTTCAGACAAGGCTATGTTTGGCCTTGAACAATTTGATGATCCTCCCTTTCTTTCCCTGTTAGTTCCTTTGTGGGAAAGATTAGGGAAAAAAAAGTGCTTAACCATTTATTAAAGCCAACCCCTATCCAAATAGCATCTTTGAATCTCTTTCAATAAGGCTTAAAATTGAGTATAGGCCATTAGGGGTCATATTACTAACATTTAAGAACATTCAGCGGCAAAATTTTTAATCTTTGAGGTCTAGAAGTAATAAGTTATAAAAATCTTTCACATCCAAAACAACTTAGGGAAGTCGCATCCGTCCCATCGCAAGCACCTACACAATGTGATGATCACATTGGTTTATCTTTGATAGTTTAATACACAATTGCCCTTCCAACAATAAAAGGCAAAAATATTTCATATCAAAAAGTTATTGGCACTGTCGAATGACAGGTTCTGAAGTGTTTGTAAGACAACAAAACGACTCTACAATAATCTTCCTCAATCTTATATCCTGGAATAATTATCAATAACTCAAAATTCATCCTTTTTTGACAGAAAATACGAAACCCAGCTATAATTTATCTTGTCTTCCCTCTAATTTTTCCTTCTACTTACTATATCATTCAGTTTTATTTTGTTTTGGTGAGACATAAATCATAAATTATAAAGTGGTAATATGAACGAATTGTAACCAGATGTTCGGAATTTGAATCTTGACAACTCTTTGATTTTAGACCACGATTGATTTATCTGTTATGAATACCCTAATCCTGACGTGGATGACCTATTTTTAACCAGACTAGGGAGAAGACTAATTAAGATACATGTAAGTTAACCCAAAAACTCTTGATCAATAAAAAAAAAAAGAAAAAGAAAATACATAAGTCAATATGAGAAAAGGTTGCCAACTCTTGTTTGCCTCTGCTTACAAGACCGAATCGATGAAAATTGGGGCCTAAGCGGACCTGTTAAATAGGGCTGTCAACAATTCAATATAAATATTAAAACAATATATTAATAATTTTATTTGAAAAAATTATTGCTTTTTGCCTCGAAACATAAATTTTTACTACAATATAATCCACTTTATTTTTTGTAATATTTTCACCTTTATTTGTTTCACTTTAAATTACTTGATGTTCATTATAATTTTTTTTGTACAATTGTCTTGTTATTTATGATTGTGTTAAGTATGATGCATTGTTCAACCACTAAATCTTCGCTTCAAGTTACATATTTTTTATATTAGTGGTAACAAATATATAAATGGCTCTCCTTTTTTTGGATTAAATTAATCATTCATTTTCTCTTTTTTATGCTTTTCATACTGTAATTTATATTTTATCATGATCATATTCAAGCAAAACAAATATTTTAAAAATAAAACTCTGAATTAATAAATAGCTATACTAAGATCGAAATTTAATATATTATCTAATTAAGTAATAATTGAACAATTTGGTTTGTTAATGTTATTTTTGATAAACAATGTAATTATGTTTATTTTAATTGTGTAAATGCCAACAGCTTAAAGGGGGCATTAAATGGAGAGAGAGAGAGAGAGAGAGAGAGGTGTTTTTGTGCAATAGTTGAGTGATTTTCACTTGCTTCACTCGGTAAACTTAGGACCCAAGAAATGTAGGGGGCCCCATGCCTACCGAAAGTTAGAGCTGATTTGATCAAAAGGTTAAGTCTAAGAGTGTTGTTCTATGTTTTCTAGATTTTGAAGAATTCTTTTATTACATTTGGAATGTAAGCACAGTTAAGTAAATAATGAACAACACCCTTTTCAAAGTTGGATTTTTTCAGTACGTTATGGTATATAAAAATATTGTGACTTCTCTTATTAGAAGGTTGTGTGTTAATTTCGCTTGTAAATCGTACAAAATTCTGTCAATCAATGGAAGAATCAAGAGATTTTAACATGTTTGAGTATGCACATTCTCATTCTTCTCAACAAGTTTTTGATAGAATATAGAAATCTCTTTCCTCTTTCCCTTCCTCCTTGCTCTTTACCTTCTAAGTTGGGAAAGGTTGAGGGCTATATGAACATTTTTCACCATCCATGTGGAAAAAAGTTCAAAAGGAAAAAGGCATGACCAAGCTACCCCTTTTTTTTTTTTTTGATTTAATGGTTAGAGGTGTTTGGACTAGCTTACGCATACTTTGACTAATCTCCTTTTAGGTCTGGTCACCTTTTTTGTCGGAATTAGAATATTTTTTAGGGATAAATCCTTTTTGACTTGACCACAAAGAGTTAAAATTCAAAATCAAAAAATTTGAATTTAAAACTCGTTCTACTATTACTTGAGCAACCTCAACGTTAAGCTCAACCTTTGCCTATAAGAACCATTCAATTCCAAGGCTTTTGTTTGCAGAAACTGCAAAGAAAACCCATTCCCTCCCTCCCTCTCTTTCTCTCTCTCTCTCTCTTGCTCTTCTTGGCCCAAAAATCCTCTTGATCCTCGAGCTTTTACCCCAACTCATGGGGTTCTAAAAAAAAAATACCCAAAAAAGGGTTGTTTTGAAAGTATTTTTCAAACTCTAATTGTTTTAAAAACGTCAATTAGAATGACGTTTTAGACCAAAAAAGGTCAGTTGTAATAACGTTTTTAAACTAAAAACGTCAGACCAACTGACCTTTTTTGTTCAACACTGTAAGGGCTATGCAAGACCTTAAAACGTCACTACAATTGACGTTTTCTTTGAAAATGTCAGTTCCACTTACGTTTTTCGCTAGATAGATTTTCTAATTACCTTTTCCCTCTTATTTCCTTCTTCTCTGTTATTTCGATTTTCTTCCTTCTTTCCTCAAATCAGTTTGAGCCCTAACCTCCTTCATGCGACTAGGTAGCAGCACCACCAACGTTGTTCAGTCCTGATTTTCTTATTATTTATTTCTTTCATTTATTAATACTTGTACAATAAGTAGAGCACTATTCAAATTATTATCATCAACCATGTTTGGCAGAGGCTATGAGAGCATTGATGTTTGGGAATTTTGATGGGTCTAAAATTTTCATGGACCCAACTTCCTCCCTAACAGGCAACCAGAAAGAAATCCATCCTACAGCAAGGTCCAAATATCTAATGGCTTCCCCTCCAAAGAACTTTTTTCCTCTGAGCTCTCCCTCTATCTTTTCTAAGACCTCCATGGCTGATTTCAGAGCATTTTCCTGTTCATCTCCTTGTGAACGCGTAGCTATCCATGCTGCGTTCAAAAGCTGTGCAAAAATAGTATCAGAGATCAGTATTCATTGTGAGCTTTTGGCTCTTATTTTCTTTGTTTGCTAAAAAGCTTGCTAATAGAATTACTATAAAAAGAAAAAAAAATATTATTGAAAAGGGCTCGAAAGTCAAAAAAAGGAAAGAATTAGTGTAAGACGGTAACTTATGCGGTTTTTGATAAAATTTAAAACTGAATTTGTAAACTGTTTGGTACCCATTAAAATTTAAGTATTGAATTGAATCAAATTGTTTGATAACTACGTATAGTTGATATCAAAAAATAAATTAATTTTTAATTTACCCTTCCACTCTTTATTTTGAAAATATTTATAAAATATACTTTTACTAATTGAATAATAACAAATTGAATAGTTTGATTGTGTGTGTGCACAAAGTGTGTGGGTGGGTATGTGTGCACAAAATGTGTGCCGTGCTTGTGTTTAATTCTGTGTGTATTTGTGTGTGTGTAATTGTGTGTGTGTGCAGTGTGTGTAATTATGTATGTATATATCTGTTGAAGAAGACTTAGCCGCGTCGCTCATTGAAGAAGATAATTACGATGGTGAAGAGAATAGATAGATTAGGGGTTTTAGATTGTGAAATATTTCGGGATAGAATTGTTATATTGTAAATATTATTAAAAATAGTTTTGCTGAGGATTTTTTGCTTTTAAAATTAAATAAAAGGTCTCTTACTTAATATTATAGTATGTTTTTAAGGAGTACTTAATATATTAAAATATTAAAAATAAACACACCCTTACATTTATTGGGAGAGCCCCATATCACTTGGTGGAACTTATAATTTATTTTCTCAAGACAACACAAAGCTGACATTTTTTTTTGACAAGCTAATTGGAATCAAACACGATATTTGATATCTAAAAAAGAAGGCACATATCTCGACAATATAGTAACTCAAGGAGCATGATCTCTTACCCGTAAGTAGGTCTGAATTTTCTCCGTAAAGATGGGTGAAAACCCAAAGGTAAGAAGGCCTCGGTATGAGAACTTTTAGCTACATACCTCACACACACATGCACATTCTTACCATTTTTGTAATGTTTTATACTTGTCTATTCTATTATTGATTGCAATATTAATTTAGGCATTGGAGGGGTTTACCTCGACTCAACGTCAAGGGTCTCTCTAAACTCATGTTTGTTTTGTAACTCATGCACCGGATGATATTCGAAGAATAAAGGCGCAACTTAATATATTTTAGTGATTGTGCAAATTTTTATCCATACAATTACTATAAAGAGTTTTACTTTAGTACATACTTAAAAAGGAAAATTTCTATTCATGTATGGTCAAAGTTATTCGTTTTTTCTTTTGGTATGTATTTTACGTGTGATTGCCACTGTGGTGGGAGTCTCATGCATTGAACTGCTAAAAAATATTTTCCTAACTTCATATGTTTGACACCATAATTGGTATGGGAAAATCCCAATTTCAAGACTAGTTGCCTAATTAAAAACAGTCCAATCTAGTTAGTCCCAATTAATAATGGTTTGAGAGGATCAATAAAACGAGTATGGATAGCGCTCCATACTAATAATATATTCTTAAACTAGCTAGACTAAACTATGAGCAAAGTCGGCTACAAAACATAATAACGCCTAAGAAAGTCATACCACTAATAGGGCTAAGGTCCGTGACTTTCGATATATGATTGATGATGGGCGTGAAACGACGGTATAGTAAAATTGGATTGGACACCCAGCAGTAAAAGTCTCTGAATGAAATCCCTTATTTTGGTGGCGGGCATGTTTTTAAACCAGGGATAATGGAGGAATATGTTTCTAAACTAGGGATAATGGAGGAATATTCTAATGTTCGATTCAAAAATTTCAAACATATAGGGCCAAAATTTAACAAATTGAAAAAATAGTTATGAGAATAAATGAAGTGGCTGTAATTATTACCTTCTCTTCAACAAACTTGGCCCAAAATCTGGCCATGGCTCTTTAATAAGGGTCCTGAGGCAGCAATGGGGTCTACGTCCAGGTCTCATCAATGTACTCGAGAAAAACAAACGACTCGGCCATGACTTTGCCACCATGAACCATCACAGGGACCTTCTTGTGCACAGGGTTGAGCCCCAAGAGCAAAGGGCTCTTGTTGAAGATGTCTTCTTCTATGTACTCATACTCAATACTCTTCAGTTTCAGAGCCCACTCTACCCTCAAGACAAATGAGCTCGCCCAGAATCCCACTAGCTTCACCCCCTGGCTTGACATGAGATCTGTGGTTGCTTCTTCTGCCTGCGTCAATTGCTTCTTTTTGTTTGTTTTTCGGGATTTATAAGCATACATTTTTTCTTAATTTTCTTAAATAATATATCATCTATCATAAACTCAACTATATTCACTATATATATAAGTGAATTTCTTGCCAAAATACGAATAAATATTTTATATTTGAGTAAAGTTGATGAAAAGTATACGGAAGAAAATTCAACGTTTATAAGACTTTGAAGAGTCACTTTTGGAAAACAAAACAAGTCTTAATCCTTAGGTCCAAGATAGCTCAAATAGTAATAAAGACGACTTGTAAATTTAAAAATTTTGAATTTGAATTTTGATAACTCTTTAAGGTCAGGTCATAAGGAATTTATTTTTCATGAATACCCAAATTCCGACCTGGATGATTTGTCTTTGACCAGACTGAGAAAGAAATTAATCGAGATACACGTAAGCTGTCCTAAACATCTCTGACCATTGAATAAGAAAAAAAATGTCTTAATCCTATCAATTGTCTTTTTTTTTTTTTCTAAATGGTTGAAAAGATGCAAAAGTTTAGTGAAGTCTGATGATGCACAAAATTAGTTTACGCACCACCTGTCAATTAAGTAATATAAAATGCAGTAAAGTAAAGGGAGAGAGAATACAAGGTTTATAGTGGTTCGTTCAGTATGATCCACGTCCACTATGAATGGTAAGGGTCGCTGGAATTTTATCATCTCTGGTGTGGAGAGAAAACACATGATTACAAGTTTTGAGAGGGGAGGAGAGAATTATGCTCAAATGAGTCTAATGCCCCCCAAGTGTTGGTGAGACTTACAATTTATAATGACTTAGTGTAGTAATTAAATAGTTAGTCTAGCGGTCATAATGGGTTGGGGTCTTTTAATAGTCATAACGGATTGAGGTGACTTTAACAGCAATTAAATGGCTTGTCGACCTCTCTTCTCCTCAATGGGCAAGGAAGTTATGATGTTCTCCAAAGGATTTGGTCAAAGGATTAGGGAAGGTTGACTCTCTTCGAGCGACGAGGGTGACACTCTTGGTTGACCCTTACTCCAATGTGGTAGAGGAGACTCTTGGATAAGCTCTTAGATGACCCTGGTTGCTCCTCTACTGATGTAACTCCTAAAACTTGATGAGCTTGATCTGGTGCAGACTTCTTTGGACTTGGCTAGTTGGACCTCATGGAATTAGGCCCTTGGACTTGTAACATGAGTCGGGCCTTTGGGCTTGGGCCATCATTTTCCCCCTAATGCCCTGCATTTAAGGAACTTAGAAAGGAGGGCATTCGATTGAGGTTGAATTTTTGACCGAACGACAAAATTAGAAAAATTTGGGAGATCAAAACATATACTCCCAGGCCTTTTTTGAGTTTTTTACAGCATCATTCACATTCAAAGGTAGTGACTCTTGTAAAACTCTTTGAGAGCTTCGATTTGACATATTATGGGCCCCGTTTGGAGTTACAAATCAAAATTTACAGTCAAAATAGTTTACACTCCTTTTTAAATCCGAATTTTTCAAAAAATTCTCTTGATCGGCAACCCATCCCTTCTAGTAGACTCCTTTTGCTTGTAGGGACCCATTGACTATATAAACTCCTTCCTCTCCTTTTCTTTTGGATTCTTAGAAAACCCTAAGTTGCAATTTGGGGCTTTTGGATTTTTTCCTTTTCCAAGAGGATTTTAAACCATAGGTTATAAATAGAAATTTTCTTCTTCATCACACTCATTTCATTCATTCTTGAGAGAGAAAGAGAGCTTTTTCTTGAAATCTTTCAAGAACCCATTGGTGAGACTTTCAAGATGAGCATTTTGAATAATGGTAGCTAGTGTTGAAGATGTTCAAAGTTCTGCAAATGTCGGTTGAGGAACTCAAAGGAGTTGGCGTTGTCCTTGGAGGGGAGATGGAGGTGCAAGGCCTAAGGGAGGTGGAGCCGCCATGGGACACCTCCGTT